AGAAGTGCCCCCTCTGATATGTGCAAACGGTAGCAAAGCGTAAAGCGTGCGCTGCAAAGCATTTTGCTGCAATAGGGTCTCACGGCTTCCCGTAAGGATGATGTACAATGAATGTGACGCAGTACCAGTACTGATTTTGTGATTACTGTACTCCTCAGTGATTGTTGGTATATTCTGTTAGCTGATAAACTTCTAAAAGAGGTTGTGATATCGTGGGGCACAAGGATCACTGGAACGCGGAGCCTAGTTCTTCAGAACGCTGCAGAATCCCCTGCTGTCAAAGCACAGTTTCTAGGATTCAAGTTATTGCATATCCAAATAAACTTTGGTGCGGGGTTGGTTTTTTTTTCTTTTTTTAGCAGCGATTGTTTTTATTTGCTAAGCACAAGCATAAATATCTCACTCTTAAGGAACATTAACGGGAGAAAGCAGGGGGCGGGTTCTCATGGGGGAATTTTCCTTCTGTATGTATGACTAGTGCAACTTTAAAATTTATGGGGGAAAGCAATGAAAAGGTAGACCAGCCCTGGGAAATCGCATTGGCTACTTCAGAAGAGCTTTTTAAGAGACTACATAATTTTAAAAAATTACTGTCAGAAACCTCTTTGACTCGAATGTGGTCATCAATATTTTGGGTAGCATCAGAAATGCTTCTTTTTGAGGTGTATTTCTCTTTCCACTCCTTCCTTAAGGATATGAGTATACAAACATTCTGCTGTATTGTTCAGATTTTGGTGGTGATAGGATAACAAAATAATAATTTTTTTAATACAGTTAGAACTTAATGCAATATTATTCCCGGCAAGTGCACCCTAACTTTGCAGGCTCGTCTCATGGGGTACATAAAAGAGCAATGTAGGGTTATGTTTTATAGAAAGCTCCCACGGTGTTGGGAGTGCAAGATGTAGCAATTAGCTAAGCAGATGAGAAAGGAGATAGTGAGGTAATGAGCTGCATCTAATTTGTCCATGTGGAAGTGTCTAACGACAAACACCTCTGAAGAAGTGAACAATTCTCTGTGAAGGTTGCATCACCTTTTCAGGTGGGAGCAGGCATTGCATAAGCGGCAGGACGGAGTGAGTTGCGGTCTGGCGTTGTCATTGCTTCCAGCTTGTGCGGGGGCCTGAGGTCAGGGGCCAAGTGCCCGTCTGCGGGGCGGCGATTCTCCTCCTGTACCGCTCAAGTCAGCGGGCGTTTTTCTGGTGCTGTAGTGAGCCTGGATTTTTTCCTACAGCTTTTTATGAATGAAGTTCCCTGAGGCTCACCGCCTCTCCTACCTGACCTCCAGTGTGAAGGAAAGTGAGCTCGGACGTTCGCTCCACACCGCGGGTTAGTGAAGGGAGTTCACCTACAGTTGCTCCAGTAACTCATCTAGATTATGGAGAATCATGAAATTATTCTTGGGGTGTGATTTTTTAGGAGATGCCATGGGCTAGCCTGTTGCAGTTTGGGTAGGCATAGCTGCCTTATGCTGCTGGGTGAGACCGATGGCTGAAAAACCCCCATTTCACTGATTGCAGCTACTTATTGTCCAAATCAAAAGATGTGTGCAGCTTTTTAAATGAAACCAAAGTCTAATACTGCATTGCACGAATTTTACAAATACCTGAACAGGGAAAGGAAATGTATTTTATTATTGCTACTGGTTGCTTACTGCAGCAGTAATTTTTGCTTCATGAACTTGAAAAGGTACATAAACATCTCCCTGCTTCATAGCTTCCTTGGTTTTGCTGAAGAACAAGAGTACCAAAACACAATTCC